CGCAGTCCATGCCGTTAGTCGATGAATCATTTTTTGCATATTTGAAATAAAGAAATCAGTAGGCCTGTAGCAACAAATGTAAATGATAAAACTTTGGTCAAAAAGTTACAGTTTACATTTACAATCTGTTTTTTATCAGCTGCGCCAGAAGAGAAGTTTTATCATTTGCTACTGGCCAAGTATCTTCTAAATGTTTACTTTTCCGTCATATTCTTTTCTGTAAGGTGAAAAGTGACTGTGAAAAGTTCTCTTTGTGAAAAGTTTTCCACATATATACGTGAAACTGTTGTTGGTTTAGTAGTATTCGCATACATTAAGACATTTTAACATTTATTCAAGTTCAACTGAGTATATTGTAATGTCTTCAATAGGCACTCCTTCTTCACCAACTATTTTTACACGACAATCTTCTCTCTCACCATTGGAAAATATATCAAAATCTCCTTCATTAAAAAGAAAAAGTATTCGTCATTTATCATCTTCCTCAATCAAAACTCGATGATAACTTATCATCGAAAACATTAAAGTATTCAATGTTTCTGCGTGATAAATTAACAACTGGACAGTGAACAGTGATGTTTTTAATTCTTTGCTTCCATTATATACTCGCATGTTGATATTGTATTGCTTTGTCGTATTTTCTTTTTCTTTAACTGGGTCAAAAAAATACACTGCTTATCAATAATCAGTTAAGAATAGAAAAAAGATGAGAGCTAACTTATTTGCTCAACATACGACTAAATGGTTTTTTGTTTAGCTACATAAAAATTTTTGAAAGTTAGGAGCAGAACGCGATAAGAGCATCTGAAAGACTACTTCTCTTCATTCCTTGCAATACTCTCATGAAGTATTGAAATAATTTTGTAACGAAACAGCTTTTGTCGATGGTTTCGACAATCTTAAAAGAAATTTTAAGACAAAGCACCTAAATGTTATGAGAAATATTTTCGTTTTGCATTATAACTAATAAATTCTACAGCTTTAGTCATATTAGGGAAAGGTGACTTGTTCAGATCAAGATTTATATGTTAGAACGACAGAGGATATCGAAAAGAAGTTGAACATGCCTTTTCCCTTAAAAAACATTTTCGTTACTCCGTTACCTTCAGGAGAGTAACGAAGTAACTAGATTAGTTACTTGTTACTAGTAACTAGTAACTGACTAATTTAGTTACTTGGTTACTAGTAACGAGTAACTGCACTAGTTACTTGGTTACTAGTAACGAGTAACTGCACTAGTTACTTGGTTACTGGTAACGAGTAACTAATCTCGTTACTAGTTACTAGTAAAGTAAAGGTAAAGTGCCACTCCTACCTAGACCGAGGTCTACTTTCCAGGTATTTTACATTTTGCGCAGTCAAAAGACATTTTTATTCAAGAAATAACGTGATATTCGGAATCAACGTGAAAAATTGCATCGAATGATGTATCACTTATTAGTTTTAGAGATAAAAAAATTGTTTGACAAAAATGTAGGGCAAGAGTCAGGGATTTTTCATCGCAAAAATTTGAGCAATTCAAGCAATCAAGCATTGAACCTCTTGCAATTTAAAACCGAGTCTGAAATCTATAAAAATCATTTATTAATATTAGTTTGAGAGAATTTTAATACAAAAACGAACATATTTTACCGGAAAGAAAATTTATCGATTGACTGTTAACATTAAATAGTGGATTTACTGGGCTAAACGAAAAAACGTTAATTAACGTCCTGGTTGCCATACATAATAGGGTTGCGTCGTTGTTCCATTTCCCATCGAATCCTTCCTTCGTTGTACCTCATCATAATGAAGCATTACGACTGTTATCACAACTGCAGCAGCAAGCAATGTTGTCATCAAATTTAGAACAAATGTTCTTTTAGACCATAATGACGCTAGTTCATACCGACTTATTTTTTTAAATTTATTAACAGTATAAGAAAAGTAACAACATAAGAGACCAAATGGTAAAAATATTAAATTGAAAATTGACCAAACATAAAACGTGTGTATCTTGGAAACGTCTTTTAAATCTTGTTTTTCTAATTTTTCTGGTTGTATTTTGTTCAGACTAGCCGGTTCATTGTTGGCTAACGATAGAGTTGGACGATTAGCATGAATCGGTTCACTGTGTGCACGTGGTAGCGAAGCTGGATTATCATTGGACATGTTCCAGCACTAACAAGTTTAAGATTGGCTGTGAAGATAAAATTCAAGATTGTTTATAAAAATACGAACTAATATGTGTTGTTACTAGTTAACTTTTGAAAAATCACTGTAACTCTGCTTAATCAAGTTTTTCAAAAATATCAACTAGAGGAATAAAGATATGCAGATTAAACCAAGATCGAAAAATCATATAGAAACCAACTTTTAACGGAGAAATATGAAACAAAGTAGCAGGGTACAGTTAATGTTAATGGGTAAAAAACAAAGAGGTCAGATATTTTTCTGTTTTCGTCTACTCACCTTTTAGTTCGTGATGATAATCTTAAAGAACGAAATAATTGCTTTTTAATACCAGTATTGTACTTTTGAAGTAATGTATCGTGTATCCCTCTCTCTCTTCATACGTGATATCTGCGCTTTTGTAAAAACAATATGGAATGCTTCAACGATTTATCCTCTCCTATACCGTCCTCTTACATACACGAGTAAAGTAAGGGCGAAACAATCATAATATATAACAAGAAAACATAAAAGATTTACGTTTGTTTTTGTTGTATGATACATATACTAATTAATCAACAATAAAATAAAATGTAAGGTACTGTTGTCTCAATCCGATTGCATCATATTACTAGAACTTACATGAAGCATACATGTTTCAATAGCCACGTAAGCATATGCATTTAAGTATGTTTTTTCCAAATATGTTATTAAAAAATATAGAAATTTTTATTTTTCTTATAAAAGATCTTTTATAGAAAAGCGTCAGTTTTTTGTTGGAAAAAATTATAGAGTCACTTTCGTTTTCCTTATTATTCGAGTCACTATTTGGCTGCTGTTTCTCTTTTTACATGATAGTAAAAAGAGCCGTAAAAAAAGTACCATGACCGTAGCCGTCATGGTATAATTTCCACTGATTTTTCACACGTTTTAGGTTTGATTTCTAATAACCTTTTGATGAGAGCCAATAACTTTTTATCGATATAATTCCATAAATTTTCTATTGGATTGAGATCGAGGATCGTTGCCGCAGTAGTTGATACTTCTTTTTTTGAAACCATTTTATACTAAAATTGCGCGTATGGCATAGGTCATTAGCATGAAGTACCATGTTTGGCGAAGTTTAAATCGTTTCTTCACAAACGGTGGCAAACTTCGCTTCAACATGTCAGTGTGATCTATCCCATTCACTCGACCCTTGGGGGGAATCCTTACTTTAAAGTTCCGTCAAACATGACTGACCGATGCTCTAACTAACGTTCAATCTAATTTTCATTCACTTATTATTCTGTACTGATAGGTGATATCGTGAACGTGTTTTTTGTGTTTTTACATGAATTTTTTCCAGTGACGGATTCAGGGTGCTGTACAAAATCTTAAAAGGTTTCGTAGTCTGTATGAAATCTTAAAAAGGTATATAGATGGTGACAAAAGTTTAAACCCTTTTTCGGTTCGGTAGAGTACCGTTTTTTTTAGAGAGCGGGATGATCCTACCCTACCCTGTGCTATTAGGGTAGAGTAGGGTAGGGTAGATTAAGGGTACAAAATATTTACTATAGGGTGCCAGAGCTGGAACCGGTCGAGAAAAGATAAACTGATCCGGTCCGGCCGGTAAACGGACCGGTTGGAATTATAACTTAAACCGGCGAAAACCTGGCGAAGTTTTTTGAAAATTGATTTTCAGACAGAATTTCCGCCACAAATGAAGTAGTTTGCGAGCACATGTGAGAGAATCTTCACAATAACGAGTCTATAATGTTTAACCTCAAAAAACAAGTGATGAAAATAACATCTGTCTTGAGCATTGTCTTATTTATTCTGACTGAAAAAGACGTGAAATTTTAGTTTTTTGACGAAAAACAGGGTAAAAAGAGCAGATGTTTCAAAATCTTCAACCGATGAAATAACGATCTCTGCTTCGATTGGTACCGGTTCCAGCTCTGTAGGGTGCCATAGGGCAAGAAAGGCTTTATTCTTTAAGCTTAATAAGATAAAATATATAATGAAAGATTCCCAGGACAACGAAAACTGACATCGAATAACTTATGCATAGCCTGTTAACTGTATGAAAACTGAGTCATTTTGTAAGGTGAAGAATTTCAATATACATAATAAGAGATACACAACCTTTTTGACGTTTCGTCTTTATTCAAAAGACATCCTCAGTCAAATGTGACAGACGAAAGTTGGTTAAAATAGAAGATAAAATACAAATACAAATACACGTATGTAGAACGCAACAAATAAAATGGATAAAATACAACTTTTCTTTTTTCACAATATATGACGACCGAATTATGTGTCGTCAAAATACGTTCAAAGCTTTTTTGAGAATAAATTAGTCTTGTCTTTTGATCAATATGAATGTTCATCAACAAGCTCTCTTTAATAGTTCTTCTTATAAGATGTGACTCAACTGCAAGAATTTGCGGGTTCCAGTTAGTAAGATGACCTGTGTTTAAGCAATGAACCGCTATCCTGGAAAACCCTGTTCCAAAAAATGCATTCTGGTGTTCCTCTTTTCTTTTTATTACGCCTCTCGCTGTCTGTCCTATATAACTATTCATACATCCGTAGCAGTCATATTTGTAAACTACTCTCTTAAAATTACATGACACACGAAATGACCTACTAAATATAGATGATATTGTGTGTACAGCTTTAAAACCAAAATTCACCTTTTTCATTGGACTTTGCAGAAAATGTTTCAGTTTATTTGCCAAGACCAAAAATGACTGAGGATGTCTTTTGAATAAAGACGAAACGTCAAAAAGGTTGTGTATCTCTTATTTAATATACAGATGAAAACTGTTAAAAAACATAAATTTGATCAACATTATTAAATATGTTCATTAATAATGACCAACCCTATGAAAACAAATTCTATACAAGTTATGGGCTGTACTCTTATAAGCTGAATAAAACAATGATATACATTTTGATAAGCAGTCGGATATGTCTTTCAAAAATATGTAACTAATTTTGGTATTACCTTGGTTAATTTTAATCGTATTTCGTATTTCGTATTTCAAGTCGTCATTAATGGTCTGTCCAGCTCATATCAGAATGAGAGATGCATCGTCAGTAAATAAACAAACCTTAGAATTTACTTTTTTCTCCCCATCGACGCAACCCAGATCAGTAATGTAAGTTAAAAACAAAATTGGCGCTAAAACACCACGTTGTGATACATCATAGTTAATCTTAAGTGTGTTTGAATTCACATCTTCAATCATTGTACATATGGTTCGGTCAGTTAAGTAGTTCTCAAATCGTTTATATAAATTACCAGATGTACCTTTACATTTTAACTTGTACAACAGACCTTAACTTATACCTTATCAAACGCTTTGAGCATATCAAGAAATATTTCTCTAGTTGTATTCTGATTTTCAATGCCTAAAGCAATGTGGTACATAATTTCAATTAGATGTAAAATGGTCGAATTCTTCCTCCAAAAACCTTGCCTGATTATACGACAATAAATTATTTTTAGTTAAATTCTCATAAACATAGTTCTGAACAATTTTTTTTAATACAATTCTGGTAGGAATGAAAAATTTGTAGCAAGGTTTTGTATTGGAAGTTTTGGGCTGAATAAGATAAAAAATCATTTGTTTTGCGAGTAGTGCAGTCTCAACTCCATTCCAATTCGGCTAATTTTGTAGTACACAATAAAGACAATCTTTCAATCTGAAATTACGAGATTTAATATCATTAATGCATCTCTCTTGCATGGTGTACTGTCAATATGCTTTGTGTACATTTCTTGTTGATTTTTTCGACCATTAATTAAAACTTGGTTCGACCTGTAGCACATAAGATTGTCGTAAAATAAAAATGTAACACATCTTGTAAAACGTTGAGTAAACAATTAATTACTTCTAACACTTTACAGTTAGCAATATATTTTGGATGACAATTTTCATGTGTTGTGGTTTACAATAAAATATTTGAAGATTAAATATCATTTAATAGCTTTTGTTTATTTTATAATCAAACCATTGACTTAGTATGTGTGTGAAAATATGAATCGATATATTATTCTTATTACAAAGTTCACTGCCGTTTGTTAAATTGATTGTATAAAAATGGGCGTGTTTTTATATGACCTTCAGATAAACTATTAAAATTATATGTTGCTGTTATTTTCTTCTAAGTTTATTCGAAAGTCTATGGGTTTCCGAGCTAAATTAAGTCTAAAACCATTACGCATATGGCCAATAATCTTCCAGGTGGAATAACTGGCGTTTTTATTTTTGCTGTGAGACAAAAAGAATTTTATAATCTACATGAATGCTTGAGGTCTGATCGCTAATCAAGACTATAATTAACAGATCAAGAAAACATTGACAATGTACTTGACGAACATGGTTTTGATTCATGATGAAATCTTTAGTATTTTCACCTGTTCCAACATGAAAACTAACAAATAGTAGCATTTTAGGTTTGACAACGTAAGGCGTGGTTGTTAGTTTATTTGAGATCGGTAAATCCTCTCAATCAGTGACCAGAAGTATGCTTTGCACCCTATCTACTAGTAGTAGAAAGATCTCGCGCAGAAAGGCGTATAAAAGATGTCCAGTATAATCATACTTCTATTCAATCTCACACCGTTCTAACTCACAATGTGTAAGTGCATTTTCAGACACCAACAGGTATTTGACAGCCCTATGGAATTGTATAATTAATAAGTCCAAGCTGTTAGTTGGCGACCGTTAATTATCAAGACAAATTGGACGCTAAAGTTAAACGTAAAACTCGACAGTTTATGAGTTTTTTAGATTGATTGCCACGCTTTCCGCTTAAATTTTGTGTCTAACTTATTATATTGTATTGTATCTTGTTCTTGACTACCATACTGTCAATTGGTTCATCTTACGACTGTAAAAACTACTACGCTAAAATTTCTTGGTGCATAGGTAGAAAGAGGAAATCAGAAAACCATCTTTTCTGTCTTTGTCAATACAACCCAACAAAACGAAGCAGTAATAAAAATTTCCTTTTCTTACTTTATTAAGTGGCGCGCACCACTTGCACTTCACTGTTAAGCAGCTCCATCTACATAACAAAAGCTGAATGAGATTCTGATATATCAGAAGGTTAGAAAAAGAAACTGAAGAGCTTTCCGGAGTGAATTTAAATTAAATACGTGAATTTTGGAATCGGTCGCCATAGCTGTCACGTTATCACCTCCCACCATTGTCAAAATGACTTGTTGAGGATGAAAGACTGGTTGAATCGTATCATGGTAGTGCAACCCATCACGAGAGTCAGGCACGATGAAAGCGTGTATTGAACAGAGATAAATATATTTAAATTCGTAGATATTGTGCGTATTTTTCCTTAACTAACTGGGTGTTTAGAATCTCATTTTTAAGCTAGGTTTTATCGTGAGAGAGAAGAAGGTTATATATTTTCTTTTTCCAAATACAATATACGAGCTATCGGATTTGAGTATAATAAATCTTATTTTCATGTTTTTATTTACAAACGATTTGTAATTCTTCAATACATAAATGTACTGTGTTCGGGCTGATTTGATGTAGCAAGCCCAGAGCTGCAAAATCTACCTGTTTGCTTCAACGGTCGTGGGGGGAAAACTTATTGATTCGAGAAACTTTTTTGAAAACTTAGAATTTCTTTTTGCAAATATTTTGCAAAAAGAAATTATGTCCGTAGATTATGTCGGAGAATTTATTGAAAAACTTTTTCCGTTGCGAGAAATTTCCCAATCTCACGGGTAGATTCTGCACCGCTGAGCAAATCAGTGAGCATATGATGCGGTAAAGGTACTGGATTATGTTATTATTGATACTAATGAATAGCGGATCTGGATGACTGTTTTTCTGAATTGAATAGGAATGTGCTACTTTATTTTAATCATTATTGATCTGCGAGGAAACAAGCAATAATTGTGTTTTTGTTTCTTTTCGTTTTTAGATTGTGTTTGTCTTTCGTGTTTTTTTTATACGATAGTTTCTATATTTTTTTGTACAATGGATGTCAATGTACAAGAACGTGCATTAATGATATTTTTAAGTTATGAAAAACTTCGAAGACCGTCTGTGAGTGTTCGACAACGACGAACAGAAAATCCTTTACGAGAACGATTGTTAGTACGAAAATTTATCACTCAACTTGAACAATATTACTATTACCAACAGCAACAACAATACTATAACAATAATATTATTGATAGTCAGAATAACACCAGCAATTCATCACAATTTTTACCATTATATAATATCACATACCACACAATATCAGATAATAATGGTACAGATAAAGTAGCATTAGAAAGTGAAAAAATGGATGTAGATGCAAGCGAAAATGGAGACGAAGATGAGAACGAAGAACAAGAAAATTGTTCAATAACAATGTCAGATGTTGTAGATGCAAATAATAATACAATAATTGGTAGTAATAGCGTAGCAGATGTCAAACATTATTCGTATATTCAATTAGTTAAACATAGCGAACAAAATCAGTTTTATCATGATCAAACGCCTCTGTCAATTCAAATGCCAATAATTAATCAGTCAAGCGAAGTATAAGAACAAAAACAATAGCGCTCATTATCAAATCTCACAGTATTTTTGCGCTTCTTATTTCTTCAATAGACTTGACTCTCTCACTCTCTCTCTCTTTTGATTATTCATTTTTTGTGCAACACAATAAATTAATATGCGTTGTGTATTTTTTTTTTCTATTTTTGTACGACAGAATCAATTCATAAACAAAAAATGCTAAGCTATTTTATTGTTACTGTTCTTATTTTAGTTGTTTGTTTTTTTTTCTCTTAAAAGCAAAAATCTCGCTTTCTCTCTCTCTCTCTAAAACAAATTAAATCAAATGTCAGATGTTTTTTCTCTCTATCTTTTTCGTTGTTATTATACGTAAGCGGACAAAAAACACAAATGTTTTGTATTTATCGGAATGTGATTTTTTTTGTATCGCTCATTTATTCATTTTGTTCTCTCTCTTCTCTTTTATAAATGCAACTCTTCAAATGAATGAATTGACACAAAAGAAATTAACGGTATTTACGTATTTCTTCTTTTTATTATTGTGATTTTGATTTGAGATATGACGTTAGTCTTAGTACACAGACATGATTGATCAATTTATATGTTTTGTGTACACTAGAGTAAAAAACAATGTGGTGTTGTTGTTTTTTGTTTATGTATGTGTGACGTTTTTGACACGCGTTAATTAAGCTATTATTATTATTTTCTGTTTTGTTCGTCAATTTCACCCAGTTGTTTGTTAAGGTATTTGTCTCTTTTTTTTGTTTTTTGCTTTGTTTTTTTGTTCTCTTGCAATACTTGATTTCTTTCTTTTTTTTATATAAACAAACAAAAATCAAGTTGTTAATGAAAGTATAATTTCAAGCACAAGTTATTTTATTACATTTATATTTTGATCACACAACTGGTATGGAAGGTTGTTTTAAATTTGTACGTTCAACTGTTCATCTGAACTAAAGCACAGGCAGTTGATTAAACACGCAAAATTTCTGAAAAATACCAAAATAAAAACCTAAAATAAACTTTTTTAGCAAATGCGACCTAATAGAATATGAAGATAGAATGCTGCTCATATCTAAAATGTCATGGTAAACAAATATAACAGATTTTTTCTACTTTCGTGTGTAACTGTGAACACACAGTCTGATGTTGAATGAAGTTCACATGCTTCTATACAATGATCAGCTGATTTTTTCTATTTTTATTATCGATTATTTTGCACATGATAGAAGTGACCTGTAAATGCAATATATACACATCTAGAAAATCATTTTTGAATATAATCAGTTATAAAAAATTTTGTATTATCCATAAATGCAATGAAGGTTAAAAATATAAGTCATAATTTATGAAGTAATAATCGAAATATAATTCAACGTATGTCTCTAGGTTTTTATTGATGTTACACAACAATTTGAAAGAGTGGAATTAATTAATTAAAGATATTCTAATATTAAAAATCTCTGAAGAGAGTTAATAAATAGAATTAATACTGAGTGGTCTAGCAAAGGTTTCAAATATTTAAAACTACCTTCTTGAAACGCTTTAAGTTTATACATGAGGTTAAAAGTGGGATTTCCCCAATTGAATTTTTATTTATACCAAAGAAATTTAATCAGTTCTTCTGATTGCGCATGCGATGAGTCAGAAACTATCGAACACTTCCTTCTGCACTATCCTGAATATAAATTCCCAGAGAGATACTTTATTTAGCGAACTGAGCTTTTTAAATCAAAACATAATAATTGATAGTAAAACCATTTTCTTCAAAGTCAAATTGATGTTATAGATAATGCAGTAGGTAAATTTGTAATAATTACTAAACGATTCTCTAATTCTTAATAAATCACCTATCCTACCGATATACTGCTTAAGATAACAGTTTTTATGTAAATATTTGTTTTTTACTCTGTCTCACAGCAAAGAGCTTTAACTCTTGCGCTAGCCAGGATATTACGTTCAGTATACTCTTTTTTGATAAAAAAGCTCCAGATTATTGGAGAAGGTAAATTTGTGAGTGCCAAAATGGTGCGATGACTTCGCCGAAACTGTACAGTTCTTTTGAACTTTTTCTTGGTCACACAATGAAGAAGTGTTCTTTCCTAGAACGGACAACTCATGTTAATGAAGAGACGTTCTCTTGCGCCTGTACCTATGACTCATTATCGTGTGTAACAAAAAAATATTAATAATCAGTATCCGAATGAAATAATAAGTACATGGTGTAACACTTATGCTAGTTTAGGAAGATGAAAGCATTTGTATGATTTTGCTAACGTCTTTTAAAAATAAAAATGCCTTTGCATTCAATGAATCGGGATTCAACTTTCTTCAAGTCGTCGAATGTGTGCCTAAAGTTTTAACTTACTCTGCTAGATTCTACGGAAAATACAGACTGACCACAGTGTACACTGGTTACTGTTACGCTGCGAAATTCTCCAACCTACGAGACAGGAGCGGATCTCATCTAGATCTTGTTTGATATTTTGTCACTGTTCTTCTTTTTCACTAAGAACGCAGCAATATTACACATGTCGACTTTTTTTCATACAATGGTTATAATGGATCTTTATGATCAGCTGCTATTTTGTGTTCTTTTCTTCTTTAATAATAAAAGTTGATAACAAATGCAATAAAAAAGAGTCTCTCATAGAGCTATTGTCAAGAGAAAATAATATAAACGTACACTCCACTGAATGTTACTTTATTCAAAATTAATTTTTTTATTGACTCCAAGTCGAGATAATGTACAAGACAGCATCATCATCAATAATAGATATCGATACAATCAATTATTAATTAATATTTTTAATAAAGAGATTTTTTTTTTAACACGATGGAAAATGAAAATTCTAAACAAAATTTAACGGGCCCTTGATAATGTTAATATTTCACATACCATTTCGTTCACAAGGTACCATGATGATTTATCACGATTAACACCGCGTTAGTGTACAATATGGAATAATAACTGTCAAAAAACTGTGATCGAATGCTATCGCCATTTGATAGGTATTGAGATGCTGTTCTTAGAAATTTAGATATCTTTTCACGGTCAATCATAAGTCTTACGGTTCTTAACCGTGAAACCATACAGACCTTTATGGGCTCTATTAAAATCAACAAAAATCCAAAAATATCTGGCTAAGAATTGTTTATCAGGATAGTGTCGAAAAATATATGACCAGCATACATATATAAATTAATAGAGTATTTGTGTCATTTATGAATTTTTTCTAATTGGAACATTTTCTGCTGTAATGATTGAAATGTTATCCTGTCTTTTGAATCGTATGCCCAACATTGTTTCAGTACTAAGTACATATCATATGAACATATTGTAGGACATTTGTGGGTTAGTCTATTTATTTTAACATACTCAACTAGTTTTATATCTTGATCAATATCGAAATAGGGTTTTTTTGGTTGGTCAATCATTAGCTGTATGAGTGTGATACCGAGCGACCAAACATCTGATTTTGAAGAAAATATTGGATAATTATTATATTGCTGATGACTAATTTCTTTAGTTTCTACAGGAAACGGCAAACATTCGGGTGCTAACCATCGATATTGAAATTTTTCCGTACTTTTCGTGAAATTATTTTTTCCCTCTTGTAATTTCATAGAGTGACCAAAATCTGCAATTCGTATGAATCCGTATTTATCAACTAATACGTTTGAGGCTGTCAAATCTCGATGAACAATAAGACATTTTTCTAAATATATCATAGCATTCGATATTTGAAATCCGATATTGGCTACACGTCTCATCGCTGATTTCTGTGTATGTGCTTTCAACGGACAATAAGATAAAAGATCTTTTCCACCATCGGCTAAAATTAAATAATGATATTTATCATCCGACCATTGACCGTATAACTGTACGATGGGAAAATAGCATAAGTCTTTTAACATTTTAAATTCATTATTAAAACAATACATCAGATCTTTTTTTTCTTTAAGATAACGTTTAATGAATACATTGAGTTGGTGTTTATTCGACGTTTGTTTGCAAACACTTGAATTGTGTTTACCTGCTCCTATCCAAACACCCATGCCAAACTTTCTTATATCAATTCGCCATTTGTCTTTATCCACCAATGATTTCGAGATTATCAATTCTTTTTCTAAATGCGTCCAGTATGCACTCATCACTTGTGTTACATTTTTATTGTAATATCCGACGAGTTGGGTTAAATATTCTGGTTTTAGATTTGTATCGTTAACTGGTATACGATAGTGTATAACACGACATTTATGAAGCGATTCATCACATCTTACTGAAAATACAATACAATTGTTCACTGTACATGTTGAAGTAAGTGACGGTTGGATAAATGATGTTAATTCATCGTTTTTGCACAAATATCGTATTAAGTATGTTCCCACAGTTTGAAATGTCAAGCAACGTTGAACAATGGATGGTTCAACCGATTGTAATTCAGGCATTATCTGATTGTTACTTATCTTATCTAGAAGTACACACTTGAAAATTATGATCATTACTGGTATCAGTCTCTACGATTCCTGAAAAGATTTTTTCTTTGAGGCTATACAATGCTCACTCTCGGCATAATTAATAACTCTTTATAGTCTTGGAAACGCCCTTTTATCAGGTGGTCCAGATACAATGGGTGCTTGTTTGTTATCTGTTTTTCTCCATACAGTTTCAACTTTTTTGAAATTTTTTTTACTAAAAGATGTGCCGTGAAATTCTTAACAAAGCCATACCTAAACTTTAATTTCAGGACTTCAATCAAGAAAACTACGCAAATTATACGAAAGGAGAAAAAAATGCAAACTTTCTAAACTCAAAAGCGATTTCTTGTGTTAAGGTTTTGAAAGTAAGAAAACCTGAATCAGCCATTATGTAGTCCTGACTTCGCTCCATCTTTTAGCTATAATTCACATTTTTTTCGCACCAAAACCCACTGAGAAATAATCATTTTTCGGTCGGCTGTCACGCATTTTTTCATTAATTTTTTAAATTCTGAGTCTAGTGGTGCTTTCAGTAAAGGTCCCATAACTCCATCGAAACAAAAGATTTTTCGATCGGGTTTGTTTTGTTTTGATCTAAAATTATTGCTCTTCTGTACCTAACTGCAAAATCAAAATTTCGATCATATTTTCCGTTTCTTGTTTGGACACATTGTTGGAAATGTGAGGTTGTCAATTTCCGACATATTTTTAAAACTTCGTTCTCCAGCACACCATCTGCTCTAAAAAACGTTTTTTACAGACCACCGGAAAGAGCACATTCAAAAGTACACAAAGAATTGCGTTCTCACTTCTACTGCACTTTTTTACGGAAATAATAGCAGAAGAAAAAAGTTCAAGTCGAAAAAAATATCAAATTTACAAAGTTTTCAGTTTTTTGTCTCCTTTCGTATGATTTGCGTGGTTTCTTGACTGAAGTCCTGAAATTAAAGTTTAGATATGGCTTTGTTAAGACTTTCACGGCACATCTTTTAATAAAAAAATTCCAAAAAGGTTGAAACTATATGGAGAAAAATAGGTAATAAACAAGCACCCATTGTATCTGAACCACCCGATAGAATTAATAAACTAAGTTTCATAACATTGTCTTTTTTGGGTTTTATTCTCTGCAATGGAAACGCATGATAGTGTGGATAATTTCACATGAAAAGTAAAAGATCACAAATAATTTTAAAATAAATTCATCCACAAGAAACAAACGTCTGCCATAGTCAAAGAGAAGAACGTCTCTCGTCTCGATCAGTGAAAAGTCTTTAGTTTAGTCAATACTATTGAAAATAGAACAATTTTTACGCTTATTTTGCCATTTTTTTCTGCTTAATAAAACACAACCTTTCTAAGTTTAATCTACAAATTCAATCACATTCTATGAAATATGTTTTACTAATCTCATATCGATTTTGATCAATAAGAGCAATTAGATTAGATGACTTCAAGAAAACTATAGTAAATTCATACCATCAGCTGATCCATGTAAACATTTTCGAAATTAGATGAATTTTCAAACGGGTTTTTAGCTCACCCAGTAAAATAAAGCCATGACGTGTAAGACCTTCAATTCATTTACAATACAATGTATAGAGCAAAAGAATGAAGCGTCTACCCTTTTATATAGCTAAACCAGATTTGTATCATTTTTATTCCAAGAAAACTAGACCTGTCATCTAGATGGATGTTAAGTATTTTTTTCCAATATCGCGGAAAAAAAGTAAAAGAAAGAAAGTGTATCGATGAAGATATATATATAGAAGTTTGTTTTTCGCCTTCAGGTGATGGATATTCGAAGTAGACAAATTTCGAAGAAAAGAGAACAAAAACAATACTTAAAAAAGGGAATACGTATACGTCAAAAAGTTCTGTCATTTTCTCGTATTTATTCATAAAAAAGACATTCCACTGATCTATTTTCAGCAAATGTCAGAGGTGGTCACCACGATGTTCGATACTCTATGTCATCCTTTCAATCCACTTTTCAAATGTTTTGCTGTATTATTAACAGCTACTATAGTTACTATCGGCGCCAGAAGTCATGATGCACGGTTGTTTTTTGAATAACTTTTGATAGGAATGAGATAGAGACCTGCGGCTTTCACCATCATATTGCTAAAATCTTAAGATATGTTTTTGTAAGCAGAAACTTATCTCAAAATTTTCTGGAAGTCCGATTTTTCAGAGGATCTTTGGAAAACCATCTCCGTTCTGAGAAAACTAACATACAATGTTAGTAATTTTTCTGCATACGTAGTTAGTTCGGACGTTACTCTACAAAATTATGCAAGTCACAGCTCTCCAGCTATCGTCTTTCGGACAGGGCTCCCTTTCACCGAGCACGTGTCTATCTCCGAGCAGACATCTTTGGGAATCTCGAAATGCCATGGAATATAGGTAATTGACTACGCTGAGGATAGTGGCAACATTTGTTTTTGTGTAGAAATGAAAATAACCAGATGCATTTTGTGAAAAACCGATTTTTCGCCTGTTACCAGCAAAAATTAAAATCCCTATATCTCGGTCAAATCTCATGCTGACTCAAGGAAACTTCAGGAAACGCTCAGGACAGCTCATAAACCATAATTGAAGACAAAAAAGGTGAATTTCAGCTGGACATTAGTTTAAGGTTTTCCAGAAACCTTCATGAAAAACCTCAAAGCCTCCGTGTTCTGCTGGACCACTTTTTCGGCTTGATTAGCAATATATGGTCCCTTTTAAGCCTTTTCTGAAAAGTTCCTTGAGTCGGATATTTAAATACCATGTCCTATACTGGCAGGCAATCTTAAGAAAAATTTTCCAAAACGCATTTTGCAACATTTTATTTTACTGTAAAAGAACTATTGTACACAGCAATTTCAGATTTTGACCATAGAAAAACAAGCCAGAATATTCTATTAACTACTAAACAAAGAGAGATGGCCAAAGAATGAGATGGGAGAAGACAAAAATAAAATAACTACGATGTGTTATATAGTCTATACAGGGCATGTAACAGAAAGACAGAACAAATAAAAAAGATTAGAAATAATCGTTACAATATACAGCTGTTATACAGTTACGTTATTTTAAGACTGAGAGAAAAAGACACATGGAACATCTTTAGAAAAACAGACTTCGCTTCTAACGAGAATTGAACCCGTGCACTTAGGTTTGTCAGTAGCCTACATCGTCACCCACTAGACTATACGGCTTGTCCAAACGTAACGGTGTAACATTTTTGATATAGTAATTCTCAATTTTTATAGGAACTATAAGAGACAGAAGGATGATTCTACCGCCATTTTGTGCAGTTCACTGTCCTCTGTCTCTGGTAAAAAAATGAGAAAATTTGGGTAATATTTACGGCCTTTGGAAAGAATATTCGGCGCGTGATGGACGTAACAGAAAAAGGCCCTAAATCGCGAGTACATCCAACTAAACGTTAATTTCCTGCAGAACTACTTGAGCAAATGGAAACTGTCTAGAGCGAACATTTTAGAGAAGCTTAGGAGCTATCCAGTATTAAAAAAATTTTCTTTCAAAGCCTTTCCCTCGCTAATAAATGTCAATAAATAAATGTGACAGCGTGACATTTTCGTGACGACGTGACACACTTTTGTGTCGGTGAATGCACTTAACGTCCTCCAAAAAATTTGATTTTTATATTTACCATAGAAAAATAAAGTTGAAAATTTTTTTTCAGGTTTTTAAACTTGACTGTAACCTTGAAACATCGAAAAGGCATAAGTTTTGTTTCTAAAGTCGAATTGTCGAAAAAAATGAGCCATTTTGTAGAGAATATAATTTTCTATCGAATGGTATAAGTTTTAAATTTTTTAAAAAAGGTTTCTAGTTCAAAATGTTTAAATTAAAATTATTTCACTAAAAGTTTTATTTTTATTTGCTAAGGAGGACGGATTCGTAATCAGCGCGAAAAACTGCATCTAGTGATGTGCTCATATCGGCTCTCAGATAATAAAAAATTTTTAACAATTTAATCAACGAAGCGTCGCGTTACACAAGCCGTATAGAAGCTTGTGGAACGTGTACGAAGTGGAGTTTGTCATTTTCTAAACACAATATAGCGGTTTGAATGAAAGATGTTTTGAATTTACAAGATCCATTCGAAAATCCAATTTTAGCACTGTCAGAAATAACTATGCTCTTAGCGTCGTAACACTACGTTTCAAAGCGTCGGGTCATGACTTTCCATGTCCATTGATAACATGTGTGACATGACGCCCGAAACGTATGATTATTAAGTTTGGATGATAAAAATTAACGTTTTAATCGTAAGGGTCAAAATCCGGACGGTTAAAGTACGAGGTTTTGAGTTATTACACTTGATGACTTATTAGAAATCACTCCACCGTTTTAAACGTCAGCGCTTTTAACTCTGGCGTTTGTAGCGTCTGGAATTTTCGATCTGACGTCCAAAATGCTCTTTTCTTTGTATCGTTGCTTTCTAAAAGGAATAGAAATTTCCTGCATCTATAAAAACTTTCCAAGTCAGCACGGCATCTTAAAGACGCTTTCAAAATTCGTCAGGTGAGGTGAACTTGCACAGTTCTGATTATATTTCCCCAAAATAAACATTGTTTCTTGTATCATATATTTATTAAATGTTAGAAAATTTAGAGAAAAATAAGAATAACAAGAAAAATTGGTCATTTTTAATTCATCGCATAAAATAGCCGTTCATATGCGTGCATTGCAGCCCATGTCGTTGTCTGGAGTTTTGCCCGCTTAACTGCTATTTATTTTGTATATCATCATGTAGTTTTAATGTCAAATCATTTGTTTTACTTTATGCACAGTTAAAGGTAATGAATGCCAATGATCTTAACACTGAGACAACGGTAACGATATGTTTACGCAGTGGAAATTTCTGCACTTCTTGGACCTTAATCACGCAATCGGCAGCAATAATACAAACAACACAACATAAGACATATACTGAAAGCTAATGAAACAAATAATGTGCTGATCATCTATTACCAAAACGAGTAGCGTTCTCAATGATAGTTCACACCAACATGGAAATTCAACTTTACTTTAGAATGTGACATGGTCAAGGCTAATTTTTTGAGAATATTTGTCAAGCGATTTTTGAAAATTATTTCTCAAACTCTTTCACACTAAATTTAAAGGTGAAAATACGGCTCCGTACTTAGAAAAGTACATTGGGTCACGGGCACACTGGAGCGCGATGTCTGAACAGATTTACACATTTAAGCCGCTTTTTAGAAAGGCAAATGAAAGGAATTACAATGTATTTTTAGAAGAAAACCTTGAATTGAAACAAAAACCTTTCGGATTTTGTCCAACGGAGTTCATCATGGCAAATCTGCAATTCGGACCTTTTTTTCATAGACAGATAGCTCTTTGATGGCATATCAATCTTTCCCCGTTCAGAAGAAAACCATAGATCTGTGCATGTCATTTCGGAATTTTCTTCGACTGCATTCGTCTTTACCAGCGTTTAAATCCACTATAACCCAACCATCTGACTTTCTTGGAGAATACTGCAAAAATATTCTTAAAAACAGCTGTATAGATCAAGTGATGAAATCTTCAAAGTTTAAATCAATATTTAGTGTAGCGATAAAGCTTCTAGTGTCTTTTTTCGGTAGTGCAAAACGTTGTATCTTCCGATCGCGCCGTTTTAAAATGGCAATTGATCAAATTCAATCGACATGGACGATCACATTGTCCGTTAACAAAAGATTTTGTAAAATATTGATAAGCACGTTCGATTAACGATCCATCAATATCCCTTTGCATTCTTTCAACAAGATCATTCCAATCGTTTGGGAACAGATTTGTCATGTTATAAGCATTTCTAGCTGAATATTCTTCGAGAAAGACAGTTTTATTAAACCAATTTGTGGCAGTTAAATTTAGAATGTTTGTTCGATGATCGACAACGTAGGATGTATTTGACATATCAATTGAATACATACGATAGCCAGGATTCATTGAAGAATAACTTGTCAATGATGGTGCTACGTAAGCCACAGAAACCTATAATTTTTTAAGTATAATCATAAGTTATTTTATGAAAACTAAGTATCTTACTGGACGTTTCATTGTCAGTTCATCGTAAAATATCATAAATTCATCATTATGTGTATGACCAAAGAATTGACCAGTAACGGTATTCTCATATCGGTTAATTATTTTATAATAGTTCCAACTATAAACGGCTAAACAAGAAGGAGGTGGAATATGTCCAATAATGTGCACTTTTTCATCGTTATCTTCAGCATATTGTAACCATTGAATAAGCTGAAATGAAATAAAACTCAAAAATCAAAATACGACTAGTACGTTTAACACACCCATTGTAACTGATTGAGTGGATCATTTGAACTAATAAATAACCAATAATTATATTGTGTACAATAATTTGTGTTCAATGAAATAAGTCGTAGACCAGGTTTAATAAGTGTTGTATAATATGCGCCCAATGATATATCCGAACGTGTATCATTCGGTAAGCCAAGTTGATTAATCCATTTGTTAGCTAGTGCGTCGTATAACCATGAAATGTTGTCTGATTTAATGTTCGAGGTAGGAAATAAATCGGAGGGATAAGCTTCATGATTACCTACAGCTGGATAGAACTTTTTATTCGGAAATATTGTGGCCAACATATCAGTTATTCTATTAAGAGAATACAATTGATCTTCATAAGATTGATTCCAGATGTTGTGAGGTGGCAAGTCGCCGGTAAAATAAATAATGTCAAATTCTTCGTTTCTTGCGATGTAATTAAATATTGCCTCTGCTGTCCACAAAGGTAAATCGCATGTTCGATAATCTCCCCAATAACCTGCTCCCGTGGCAAGGACAGATGGCGATCCCGATCGACAACACAATGGTCGACCACATTCAGCGTTCGATCCTGGCGTATATTCAAAGTCAATATGAAGGTCAGTTAAATGTAACACATTTGTTGTTGGAGCGCTGGGAGAAGGTGGCAAAGGAGGAATTGGATCTGGCTTCGGTTTATCTGGAAATGTTACGTTCCACTTTAACATAGGAATATCTGACTGTTTTACACAATTGAATGCTAAACCACATATTTCTTTGTTGGTTAATGTACTAATTTGTAAAATTTCGATTAAAACATGTTTGTATTCATGTATCATTCCAAAACAAACAGTTGTATCAACTGTTGCTATGTGTTCACAGAGTATTCTACCAATACTTTCAATATAATCAAATTCCTTAATTTCAACTAATATTCGAGCGAAAGGCAATACGTCATTACAATAGTCACATGTGGAAAAGAGGACATTAATATTCTGATGAAGATTTTGAAACTTGCTCAACCATACTTTAAAAGTTGCCTCATTTACAGTCGATTTGTCTGATAAAAGAGGTTTAGTATCAACTAACTCATATATGAGCAAAACGCACAAAACGACTTTAAAAAGCATGGGACAAGTGTTTTCATCGATTTCAAAACTATTTTAGCTTTATTTCATAAATAATTTCTTTGTGTATTCGTGAAATTTATCAGCATTATTTATTTACCTTTACACATGCATTGTCAGACTGGTCAATAGCGGTATTCTCTTACTACAAGATAAGAAAGAAGTGACTGACTAATAATGAACATATTACTTACTTTGAAAGTAGTAGAAAAGTTGCTATTTTTGAAAAATTAATGATCATTTTTAATCAAGCATCTAATTCAGACTAAATTTACTAAACTTAGATACGTACAACAAAATTAGAACATAACAGCCGATATCAGATCTCATACAAAATAATTTTCCTTCAATTTCATTGCCGCACCTTTTCATATCTTAGAATCCTTACGAAACTTGTATCAACAATATTGAACAAAAAACTGAATCTTACGCCGCTGTCTAATCGACTTCCTAGTGAAGCTTCTTGTAACTAAAATATTGACTCAAGATCTTGGTAAGAAAAATGTAAGAAATTTAAGAACTTCAAAGAATCCAAGATGTTGAACATCTTGAAATTTCTTGAGTTCTTGTACTCAGGATCTTGATATTCTTGAATCACCGTTTTGTTTCACACGTTTTATTACATACCATTGCGAATATTTTTATACGTAGAATAGCTTCGATCCTGGTAGTGTGACACCGCGTATAATTAATGTAAAAATAACTGCATATGGAAATAATGATGTAAAATACACCACCTGAAAATAGAAATAGACAAAAGATAATACAAATCATGAAAGATATAACAAAACAA